GCTTGTATCCCGTGACCTTAAGGTCGTCCTTGACTCCGAACGGCACGCCATCCAGTATACCCAATGGCTGCCCCTGCTTGTACCGTTGCGTGGAGGCTTCAGCAGCTTGTCTAACCATGTCTACTTTGCTGTCCATGAAGGCTGTCGAATAGGGCGAGCGCTGTGCAACATCTCTGCGTATGAGGGGCAGCAGGTGTTCTACTACGTCGGTCGGTGTGAGTGTGCCGCTCGAGTAGGCATCGTGGAAGTCTTTGATCGAGTAGAATCGGTTGGAGGACGTGTGCGGGTACGATGCGCGAAAGTTGGATTTGTCGGTGTAGTTGAGGGGAGCATCGTCGGATTCAGGCAGCGGGATTACGGTGGGATCATAGCGCGGGTCGATGCCGTCGAGTTGCCTGCATTCTCGCAAGGAGCTGAAGCCGGCATTGCTCCACAGGATGCCAGGGACTAGCGGTACAGTCGCGACTCTGGAGCTGTTAGCTTGGTGACAAAAGAATGGTGGATTGACTAACAGGTTGGAAAGATAGTGCAGCAAGGCGCCCTTGACTACGGGGTTCTTTCCGGGCGGCGGGGCCTTGTATGGCGCGTCGTGAGGTTTGGGGCGCGGATAGTTGAAGAAGCGCGGGGATGTCTGGCTGCTTCCCGACATCTTGGCTGTGGCTGCACGGAACCAATGGCAAGTGAAGCTGAAGCGATATGCAATTGGGCCTTTGGTAACACTGGTAAACGCTTGTATGCTCCTCCACTGCCTTTATGCGGAATCTTGATAAGCCTCAAGTGCTCGGGATACTTGAAGCACTGCGCTAGCTTTCACATGCTACTAGTTGGGGTGTTTTGTCATCGCGCAAGCTCCCGAGGTCCAAGACGTCCGAAGGTCCCAACGTAAGCAACAACAGAAGAAGCTTTCCGAACAAGGTCCGATACTGATCAAAGAGCACATGAATTCAATCGTGTTTACTGTCTATTGCTGCTGAGCCATGTGCGAAAGCTGCGTCAGCACTGTAGCTCTCCTTCCTCCTCAAAACTAGTTACCACACCGCAACACCCAGGGGACAAAGATAAAATAGTCGTATGCGTGGCATCCACCAGCATAGAGCCCTTGAAACTTCAACTCTGAAGGTATAATTGTAGTGACGACCTCTCCCGGGCGTGCGCCTGCCGTCCTACAGGATAGCCGTAGCCTGCATTCCGTCTCCGTTCGAAGCCATTCGTACGCGTCTACTGCTTTCCAGAGACCTGGTCGCCCATGCGGTTGTACTCCTTCTGCATGTTCTCGACCTGCTTCTTCAGGTTCGCCATGTCGCGGTCCTTGGCAGCAAGCTCCTCCTTGAGAGCTCCAACCTCGCCAGCACCACCAACGTTCTTCAGCGAAGAGCCCTTCTTGGTGCTGGGGTCGCCCTTGAGGGTCTTGACCTCCTCCTCGAGACGGAGAACATCGAGGATCATGACGTAGGTACGGTTGAGGATGAGCGACAGGAAGAGGGTGAAACCGCAAAGGTACATGTTGCGCTGCGAGTAGAACTTGCGGGCCTGGACCTCCATGCGCTCGATGCCTCCAGCAGCAACGCTTCTTGTGTCGTTAGTACAGCACTTTGTAGGTGGGATGCTTTAACTTACGATCCACGGCCCTGGTCATCTGAGCCAGAGAGCTCAATCTGCACGCGGTATACGCGGTTGACACTGTCAATGAACAGGATCAGGATGAAGATGAACGTGATCTACGCATGTCAGACGGGTTCTCCACGTGAATACATTGGCTCCCATACCTTCATGCCATATTGCAGCTTTGCTATTATAGGGCTCTCCGAAATGAAGGTGAAGAGCTTGCGGCGCCATGTGAAGGGCAGAGGGACGATGAGGGCGCAGAAGATGAGCATCTCCGTCACCAGGAGGAGGAAGACCTAGAAGATGAAGAGTTAGCACAAAGGCCACATACGCGGTTGTAACGTAAGGCGCGTAGGCGAGCACGCGAGCAGTGACGAGACGACACCATTGGCATCTCTCTCGATCGCTGCTTTCCTGCAAGGAGAGGGGCTGCTTACCAGACTGTAGTAGAGCGTCATGATGGCTACGTGGTATTATTGTCTGGTGTGTGTGTGTGTTTGTGTGGGAGCGGGGTTGAGCTGGATCAACAATGGATCTGGGAGGAGCTGGCTTGCGTGTGCGTGCAAAGGACCAGCAGGAAGATGAGAATCGTGCGGAGGGCCGGAAAGGATTGCAGGAGGGTTGATGTGAAAGTGGGAACGGGAAACGCGATGTGATGTAGGGGAGCCGCAAGTGCCTGGCTGTGACGTATGATCGCAGCTTTCCCAACTTGCTCACTAGCGCATGGGCCGCCGGTCTAGCCTCTTCTAGCCGCATTCGCCCTCACAATTTGAGCGAGTGCTTTTCTCTTTTGAGCAGCAACGCCAACCACGCACGCCTATTCTCAGCCTGGCCACCTTTCTTGCATAAGATGACGACAGGTGAAGGAACCAAGCTCGAGCCCGACCATTCGGCCCCAGACGGTGCTGTCTCCAATGGCATCAATGGCGGCAATGGTACAGTCGATGTGCAGTCCGAACCACCTGCGAGCCCCAAGAAGAGGAACAGGACTAGCAGTCAAGACATTGAGGATGCGGATACTTCTGTGAAGCGAGTCAAGGGTGTCGCACCCATCAAGGCAGAGTACATGCGCCACCCGCTTGAAGTAATTCGCATGCTAAGAACACCAGATTCCTGATACGACTGGATAACAACAAGGCCGCCACCAAGGACAGAGTCATTGACGACGATGCAGCTGAGGGCGCCGATGCTGAGCACAAATCTGAAGGCCTACCAAAGACTGATGCTCGCGATGGCCCCAGAAAGGGCAAGAACAACAAGAAAGACAAAAAGCAAAAGGGCCAAAACACCAGCCGCACTTTCGGCAGCTCGCGCGACAAGATACCGCTCTGTGGTACTCGCGCAGCCTACAATGAATTCTCACCCAAGGAGTGTCCGTTTGGCGAGAAGTGCAAGTTCGAACACGATATCCGCAAGTACCTGAAGGAAGGTCGACGAGAAGATCTTACTACCTTCGATGGCCAATGTCCAGTCTATGCCGTCAAGGGATTCTGCCACTTCGGCTGGAAGTGTCGATTCGTCGGTAGCCATTCCGAAGAGCGCACCCTAGAAGACGGCCGGAAAGAATTAGTCCTGAAAGAAGATGCTGACCGGAAATCCAAGTTCTCCAGCTTCGACGAAGAAGCAGAGGCTGAAGTGGTCAACATCGTGCCAAAGGATATCAAAATTGGTCTATCGAGACGGAAGATTGGAACCCCACGCTCTGACCAGTACCTGCAATGGATCGAGACCAATGCTCGCAACGAAAGAGAAATGTTCGATGCAGCTCAGATGGACATGCACGTTCTCAAGGAGGAGAAGGAGGCGCGCAGAGCGGAGTTTGTGGAGGCGCCCTTCAGGCCATCAGAGAAGCGTAGGCTCTACTACGGACCCGAGACACCAATGCTCGCACCCCTCACCACTCAAGGCAACATGCCGTACCGCCGGCTCTGCGTGGATTTTGGCTGCCAAGTGACTTGGAGTGAGATGGCCATGGGTATGCCATTGATCCAAGGTGACAAGGGCGAATGGCCACTTCTCAAAGCCCACGAATCTGAGGTAACCCCTCCAAAGTTCTTGGGCAAGAACACTGTTGTCCAGGGCTACGACAACTCGACTGATCTCAAGTTCGGCGCACAAATCGCGGCGAACAAGCCATGGCTGGCCACCAAGACGGTTGAAGTACTGACTGAATACTGCCCGAAGCTGCGCGCTATCGATCTCAACTGCGGATGCCCCATCAACCTCGTCTGTGAGAAGGGAAGTGGTTCCGCACTACTCGATAGCGAGGCAAAACTGGAGAGTATCCTCCGTGGAATGACCTATGTATCCAAGGAGGTCCCCATCACCGTCAAGATCCGCATGGGTACCAAGGACAACCACCCAACCGCGCAAAAACTCATTAAGCGCCTCGTACTTGGCGGCCACGAAGCCGTAGAGTCTGGGAAGGGTCTCTCGGGTATCGCAGCCATTACCCTCCACGGCAGGAGTAAGCAACAGCGATACTCTCGAAGCGCAGACTGGTCCTACATCGCCGAATGCTCCGCCCTCATCAACCGACTCCGTAAAGAACAGGCGGCCAAAACGGACACCGCCGCCGAAGCTGATCCCCGTGACCTCGCAAACGGCGGCCATGTCTACTTTGTCGGCAACGGCGACTGCTACTCGCACGAGGACTACTACAACCATCTCGAAAACGCCAAGGTCGATACCGTCATGGTCGGTCGTGGCGCACTCATCAAACCCTGGCTCTTTGAAGAGATTGAAAAGGGCCAGTACCTTGACAAGTCTGCATCAGAGCGCCTCTCCTACATTGAGAAGTTTACCAAGTACGGTCTGCAGACCTGGGGTTCTGATGAGATGGGCATTGGCACGACTAGGCGTTTCCTTCTTGAATGGCTGAGCTTTGCGCATCGCTATGTGCCGGTCGGTCTATTGGAACACTTGCCCCCGAACATCCAGGACCGTCCCCCGAGGTTCAAGGGTAGGAATGACCTGGAGACGTTGATGGCTAGCGAACACTACACCGACTGGATCAAGCTCAGGTATGTTCTTCTTATGAGGTGGGAAGGTATTTTGGCTAACGTATTTGCAGTGAGATGTTCTTGGGTCCTGCTCACCCTAACTTCAAATTTGAGCCTAAACACAAGTCCAATGCTTATGAGATTGAGGCGGAGGGTTAGAGCATGGGTGAAATGAAGGAGATATATTTACATGGGGAGCTGCTGCGTAGATGCATATGTGCATTGGTTGAGGAGCAGAAAAGCATGGCGACTTCGATGCATTTGTATGGATATCTTTGAATTCTCCATGTCTCTGTCGGTGCCTCGGTAGGACCTCGCATGGAAAAGTTATATTTGAATACCAGAAACATTCATCCCGTGCGTTTGCTCATCGCATTTGCGTCCGTAATATATCTACACCAGAAATCCCACAAGCGTCTCCAACATTTCCCTCTCAGCTGGCTCAACAGCCATCACGCCATCGAGCTGCGCTTGCAACGTCCTTTTAACATCTCCCAGTCCTTCATCCCTCTCTGCCAGTGCCTTCTCAATAGCCACCTTGGCACCCCCGTCCTCAGCAACCAGCCAAGCCAACACAGCATCGATCCTTTCCAGACAATACAGCCCCTCACTCAACCGGTCTGGAATATTTTCCAGCTCAAAAGCCTCGAGTTCATCTTTCCCGCTTATCCGCAACGCCTTCTTCTTCTCTGCTAACTTGCTATCAAAAGCTGATAACCGGGTAACGTAGCCTCTGCGCAATTCAACCAGTTTGTGTATCTTGTCGTAGTCCTTCTCGAGGAACTTGGCTAGGAGACGGAACCGGGTATCGGAGTTACCCGGTAAGGAGCGGAGGAGTGAGGCGAGGATGCCGAGTATATGTTCTGTTTGCTGCGGGTCGTGTGACCTTTTCGTTTTGGAAAAGGTGCTAAAGAGAGGTTTTAGGCCGCGGCTGTCGACGAGTTTGGTGCAGACGGCTGTGGCGCTATTTGTGGCTTCGGGGACTTCTGCTGCGGCTTCTTTGCCTTTTGCGCTTGTATTGCCGTTGGTTTGTGGTGGTGTTTCTTCTGCGTAGCCGCAGGCGTGGTCTAGTACTTTCAGGGCGCGGCTCTTGCTGGTCTTGCCGTCGCGGACGAAGAGGAGACAGAGCTCTACACCCTCTGCTTCTAGGAATTTGGCTTTTCCGAGAGGTTCTTCTGTCACTGACGAGAGGCAGTTGAACAGGTTCTCCATGTATTCCTCCTCGTTGCTGTCCTTTTCTGGGTCGTCTCTTCGGTACGGCGCGAGGTTTGTGAGGAAGATTTCGACACCGTTTGCGTCGGCTACGTGGTTTCGGTTCGGTCGCGAGGATTGTGTGAGGATGGAGAGGATCTCGGAGGCGTATTGTTTGTTCTGTGTTGTGGGTTTCTCGGGCTTCTGTATCCTGTCCAGTAGCCACTTTAGCAGAGCTGTCTCCCTGCCTATTATGTCTGTGTATGTGGGTTGTGATAGGAGGTTCTCGATGACGCTGAGGGAGTTGTAGACGCCCGATGCGTCGGCTTCGTCGGTCTCATCGAAGCGGGAGAAGTTGGATACGAGCAGGCTCAGCAGGTCGGCCTCCATGAACGCGGTCACGAGCGCATCCCACTGTTCTTGCTCCCCTCCAACGTCTTCGTCTGTGAGCTCCGAGACCATCTCGATCGCTGCGATTGCGATGTCTGTGTTCTCATGCGCCAGTAGTTCGATCAACTTGGACGCCGCCGTGCTTTTCGCAAACTCTTCGTATAGCTCCGGGTGCTCCGACAGTATGCTGAGCGCCTTGATGCCTTCGTCCAGATCGCCTTCCGACTCCATAAACTTGGTGGGGTCGTCCTCGTACTTTGCGCGCAGCGATGCGTTCTTGTTGACCTTCTTCTCAAAGTTGAGCGCCAGCTTGCGCACCCATGGCACGTCGTATTTCTCTTCGCCTATAGCTCCATCGCCGTCTTGCGCATCGATGTACTCCATGGCGTCCCGCGCATTCTCGTCCAGGCCATCGCCAAAGAAGCGTCCTTCGTCGTCGTCGCCGGGCCCGTCTTCGAAGTCGGGCGGCAACGAAGGACCAGCCTCGTCGTCGTCATCTTCGTCGGCTACCGAGGCTTGCGCTGGGGCTTTGACATCGCCATCTGCGTCCAGCTTTGCAGATTTGTATGATTGGGTCGGGTCGGCTTCGTTTGGGTTCTCGAACTTGCGCTTTGCCGAACCGTTTGCGCTTTTGAAGAGGTCGTCGATGCTCGTCATTATGCGCGATGCGACGTAAGAAGGTGTAGAGGAAATGCGAGTACGGCGAAGCGGAATTGGTCGACTTGTCGCGTCTTCACGAGTCGCTGAACATTGGGAATCCGGCTGGTCCCAGCTCGGCACTAGCGCGTTTTCTCCGCCGGAACGCTCACCTTGTGTCGGATCCACTTCTCACACGCACTCTCTCCATTCGGAATCGCAGTACATCATCTGCACGAACGCGTTTCCTTTGCTCACCCGGTAAATGTGGTAGATACCCACGAACCAACCTTACTTCTTATATCTGACCAAACATATCTTTCCTTTCGCACGGTCTCCTGCTTTACTCAAGCGTTGCTATGGCACGTCATGAAGTGTCACTGATAGGGATGAAGTGGAATGCTGCGTCCTCCTCCCCGGTACCAACATCTGGGCTGCTAGATACTCTTGAAGGTTATAACGCATGTACTGTTGCAGGGTGCAAAGCCCATTTGCGCATATCACGATCTGCATTCCAGTTGCCATCCATAAGGAGGCCCGTTAACTCTTTACGAGGATAGCATAGTTCAAGCGCATAATCAAACAGTTCACTATAAAAGTCACTGTATAACTAAGCGTATTGATGATGTCAGCCACGACGATGTTCAGATTGGTGAGTCTATCTACTGAGTTGAGCGGTTCATGCAGGTACTACAGCATAGTCATCATGGTGCTCCGGACACAGCCCAGCAGCCCCAAGCCACGTTAAGACCCCACGGAAAAGACGTCATGTCTAGTAACGCCTTCCATACCCCTCCTCACCATAACCACCGGAGCCATACTCCTGCCTTCGCTGGCCATATTCGTCTTCATCGTCACGGCGGCGGCCATAGCCTTGAGTCTCTTCACCGAAACCACCGGGAACACCAGAAGCGCCGTAAGATTGATCAGGACGCTCACCACCGTATTCCAGGCCCTCCGAACGACCGTATCCGCTGGATCTGTACGGGTTAGTACCGTAGCCCCGGCGAGAAGATTCGCCAACGTACTCTTGACGGCCGTAGCTCGACTCTTCCTGGCGACGGCCATATCCAGACTCCTCTTGACGACCGTATCCGCCAGTGCTATAAGAGTCAGCGCCATACTGCGGTTGCTGACGGCCGTAGCCTCCAGCGTCTCCGCCGTACTCCTGGCGTCCGTACCTGGATGGCTCTTCACGACCGTAGCCTGACTGCTCGCCGTAGCGCTGCTCTTGGCCGTAGCCTTGCGAGTATCCTCCGGACTGGCGCTGGGGCGAACGACTGCCGCTCTTCTTGCGACGGTGTTCATGCTCCCGGGAGCGAGAGCGACGCCTGTGTTCACCAGATCCTGATCGACGCTTGTCAGCATCATCCGAATCCTCATCACCGCTGCCATGTTTCTTGTGCTTATGGCGCTTCTTCTCCTCCTTCTCACGCTTCTTGCGCTCCTTCTTCATCCGCTTCTCGTATGAATCTTCGCCGCCCGAATCGTTCGAATCGTCGTCATCGGAGTGTTTCTTGGACTTACCACGTCGTCTGCACAATTTTTAGCCTATCATCGTCATGAATTGAGGATTTCGCTTACTCTCTCTCCTCGGAGTAGTATTCTCCAGACCGATCGATCCCTTCGCGTGTCTCTTCAGAGCGCCATTGATCGCCATGCTGGACGCGACGCTCCTCGCGACGCTCATATCCACCAGTGTTGCTGTAGCTCGAAGTCTCGACACGCTGTTCGTAGCTGTAGGATCCGCCACGGTCGTCCCGTTCCTGACGAGAGTACTCCTCGCGACGCCCACCACTCGGGTATTGTGTCTGCTCGTACTCGGCGCGGCCATAGCGATCGTTGTCGCCATACGAAGATGCCTGGTGATGACCAGTCTCCGAGTAGGACTGAGTGTAAGAGCCGTCTTGACCGTAGCTCTCCTCCTTGTGGCTCTTCTTTTCCTTTCCACCAAAAGCGTCACCAAGCAGAGAGCCGCCGATGCCGCCAACAAGACCACCGACAAGGCCGCCTAGGGCGCCACCACCAACGGCTTCGCCTGCGAGCTTGCCAACATGGTCAGAGGCCTGCTGGATCTGTGGGTTGACACCACCTTGTCCGCCGGAAGAGCCAAAGTTGTTGGCCATACCCAGAGGTTTGCCACAACCATGGCCCTTGTCGTGCACGTTCTCCTTGTGGTTGCGGAGGTTCTGTACGCCGTCCCGACTGAGCTGATCACGGAACTCCTCCTGTGCGCGCCTGTCCTTGGAGCTCCACCACTTTCCAACTGTGTCAAACATGATTTGGTGGCATTCCTGGACCCCGCGATCACCCCGTCCTCCATGGTTTCTCTCTGCCGCAGCAACCGCAGGGTGATGGAACACGCCCTTGATGATGCGGTCAATGGTTTCCTCAGGGTCGGCCTCACCGTCCCAGCACTGGACGACTTGCGGAACAGCCCAGCTCAGCACGGCAGATGCTACGCGACCAGCAGGCTCGTTGAGCACGTTGGAGAAATGATCCTTGGAAAGCATGCTGTGGGTGGGGTCGGTACAGTCATCGTCATTGAAGACGATGTGTTGCTTCTCACGAGAGCTTGCAATGACTTCGCTGGATCCCGTCTCAAGCTCAGACTTGACTTGGCTAAGAATGGGCAGAACGTAGGGAGCAAGAAGACTGAATACGAAGATAGTGACCTGGCTCTGGACCTCCTCGATCAGATCTGGCAGAATTGGGATCTTCTCAATGAATTCGGTGATGGACTGCATGATTTCGTCGTGGAACTCCATGATGGGGTAGATCTGCTTGACTAGCTCTCCAATCTGCTCAGTAAATGCCTCAGGCTCCTTAGGGGTGATCTGGATGTTGCCCATCGCAGCAGCGTTGGAGTTGTCGGCAAGCTCCTCGGCCTTACCAGCTTCGTCTTTGCCACCAAAGATGCCGTCTGGGAGCTTAGCAAGGAGCTCTTGGATCTTGCTCTTGTTCTCGTTCCTGTCGGCATTGGCAATTGCGCCTTCAAGCTCCTGCAGCTCAGACTGTGTAGCCTTGTCGGTAATCTCACCGCAGACCGAGTGCAAAAAGTCGACGCCACCGAATGTGCCTGTGATGATGGGGTATACCTGCTTTCCAGCGGCGCGGACATCGAACAGGGCGTTCCTTCCGACGTGGGGGAAAATGCCCCGGTTGTCTTCGTCGAGTTCAATCAAGGCAAGTTCGACATAGTTGGAGTGGGCAGAGTAGTCTTCCAGACAGTGGGTCGCTGTACCGAGAAGTCTCAATGCTTCGTAGAAGTCGGGACCCTTTCCTCGCGAGCGGCGTCCCAGGTCGATGCAACGCCGAAGCAGGTCGCGGACCATACCAGCCGATGTTGTAATACCCAAGTCTTCGGAAGCGATGTAGTTCTTCAGGCCGGTTCGCTCGTCGACGCTGAGCTCGCGTCTCTCATCAACGGGGCCTCGCAGGCGGCGGTCGTAGTCGCGGGCATCGAGATTGTCGGCGTAGTCCTGAATAGTCAGTATCAGGCCTTGAGCAATAAAGCGGTGTACCAACCTTGGGGTTGTCAATGTGCTCTTCAGGTCTGTAGCATCCAAGGCGATCGCGGGTGACCTCGAACTCCTTGGTTCCGTAGCCGAAGCTCATGAAGCCGAGCACCCAGAGGAGGATGCGGATAGCCTCTGCAGAGACCATCTTGACAGTGCCGACATCGACGGCCTGGGAGTAGTCGCGTAGCCAGTTGCCAAAGTAGACACGCTTGACATCCATCTTGCTGAACTTCTTGCCCGTCTGGCCGCTGATGAGCAGGGTGAGTAGGGTATCTTCGATATCTCCATGGCGCCAGTTCTGTCCCTCAATGGCGCTCAGGCTTGCAATGTTGCCCGCACCGAAAGCTGCCGTGGGGCGCGCCCACAACACCATTACGATGAGGCATGGCAGCCAGATGTCGCTGATTTGCGGCATCGTGCTCGTGATTTCGTATACTCTTGATGATATGCACGGAAGAGTCTAGGAAGAGATTGTAGGTCGAGGAGAGAGGGGTGCGTTGTGTACACCGGTGTCTATGTGAATGTTGCTAGCGGCATGTTTCAGTGGCTGGTCTTGCTTGAGCTTACCCCACCACAGCTGACGTAGAGGGGCCACAGCCCACCCACACGCCCAACAGATCGCCAGCGAGCGCTGTTCGACCAAACTACCTCTTACACCCGTCAAACACGCGTATCCCCCGTTTCGCGCAAACCTCGCCCTTGCCTTAACGTGCGCGATACCACAGTTACGCGTGTCATTGGATGTCCGCTTCCTACTGCAGGAAATTGCCGTGCATCCTCAGCTGGCATGTAGCCCCAGGCGGCTACCTTGTAAACACCGGGCCATGACAGAATCTGTGTCGCATCGGGTAGATCTCTACAGAACCGCCATCTCCACAACTCATAATGTATACCCCGTACCGATGTATTCATCGGCTTGTTTACTATCTGTTCGTTACCATAGTCGCATCATGCGGATTTCCCTTCAGATGTCGTTCGCATTGCTGCATGCAAAGTACTCCCACTCTCAACGAAGTGCGCTGAGACGGGCGCGGCAGAGAACGCCGTCGCTGAAGAGACTGCACATATCGTCGATGTGCACGCCGACCGTAGCATCTAGATCCATGGCGAGGTGTGGTGTGCTATAATCTGAATGGTGCTGCCTCAACTGGCCAGGTAAGAAAGTGCAAGCCGCGACGGGAACCCCGGTCAGAGCGCAGCTGTGTCGAGACGATCGACTTCATGCTGATTGGGGTTTCGCGATGGGCTGAATTCTGTTCGGTTATGTGGTGTTGTGAATGGCTAGGAATGGCCATGTGGTGACGGTAGTGAGTTGTGGCTTGATGGCCTGGTGCGCGGTCCAAGTTGCGCCGTGTTACGCTTTCCACCGCCAGCCCGCCCGCGACTGCCGTATGAAGAGCACACGGCTGCCATCACGCCCCCAGGTAACACCACACCTCCGCAACTCCTTCCATCTCATCGCCATCGCCTCTCACACGACCCCAACTCGACGAAATCATA